GTCTTAGAGAAAACATTAATGTAAATTAAACTTAAAAGTGTATCATGTACACTTTTCCCCTCTGGATAGCCAGTTGTTAAACATTAAGCAAGCACACCCTTGCCTAAAGTGCTGGAAAGAACACTGGACTTGGATTCAGGAGACCTGGTTTTAAGTTTTAGCTCTATCACTTAGTGGTGTGACCTTAGGAATATGACTTCTCACTGAGCCTCATTTTCTGCACCTGTAAATTAGAAGAAATAATACTGGCACTATCTCACAACAGGTTATATCCTTTGCAAAACATAGAATGCTATAGAAGTGTGAGTTGTTATTACTGTATACCATAACTACAGTATCCAAATCATTGACGGTCCATGATTGCTAAGTTAGGGCTACTGGGGCTTTGTCCCATTTAGAGAATTGGGCACTGATGACAATTCTACTTCTTCAGCAGCATAGAAACAATGAAGCTTAGCACCTACTTAACAAGAATAATTCAGCAAATTGAGCAAAAATTCAGCAAAATGAGAACCTGCCCCGTGGATCTCTTCCCTCTCCCCTCATCCTGCAATTTAATTTTAGCACCACCCTGGTCCTACCTCCCTAACCCTGGCAGAAGCTTCCCTAGCAATGGCCTCACAGTATCCCAGGGCCTTTCTAGTTACAACTGAATTTGCCTTGAAAAAGTGAATTTGAAGGCATATTTCTTCAGAACTCAAAAGATTTTTAAATGAATATTAAAAATATATAAATGATAAATTTATCTTCTTAAAGGTATATTGTACGGGAGAAGAGAATTTTGTGAAGTTTGGCCTGGGTACCAAAATTACTAGTTACAGTCCTGTGAGTGCTTAAAATAGATCATGACAGAAACATGGACAAATCTGGTCTATCTTCTGTCTGTTTGTTGACCTCCTGCCAGCTTCATCTGTGAACGCTCTTAGAAGGATGTGGTTTTTTTAGGTCTCATGTCAAGGCTTCCATGAGCTCATTTCACCCCTGGTGCTTTTTAATATTTTACAAGGCAATCATGCTTGTAATCTTCCACTATCATCCTCTGTAGGTCTTTACAAATGAATTTGTATTCTAAGTTGATGTTGGGTTTGGTTACCATTGTTTCCTTTGCTTGGGGTGGAGTGGGGGGGTGGGGAACATCAAGTTTCCAGACTCTGTCTCCTTGTTATAGTGATTGCTTTATCCTGATCAATCTTTTGCTGGAAATGGTGATAATCAAGGTCAATATATTTCTACTTTTTCATTTTGCACTTTTGGCATCGATGGCTTCTTTGAATAGGTCAGGCTGGAACATCTGGAGTTGTACTCATTTTCTCATCATTATCCTTTATCTTAATTTCATGCTGATTTTTACACATTCATTTATGTTTAATATAATTATAGAGTCAGCAACACAAAACCGGAAGGAACCTTAGATGCCATTTAGTTCAACCCCCTCATTTTACAGATGAGGAAACTGAGGCAAACAGGGTTAAGTGACTTGCCCAAGGTCCCACAGCTAGGAGGCACAGTGGATAGAAGCACTGGGTTTAGAGTAAGGAAGTCTGGAGCTCAAATCCAGTCTCAGGCACTTACTGGTTGTGTGACCTTGGGTGAGTCAATTAACTTGTTTGCCTCAGTTTCTTCAGCTCTAAATGAGGATAACAACGGCACCTATCTCATAGGGTTGTTATGAGAATCGAATGAGATAATATCAGTAAAATGCTTAGCACAATGCCTGCCACATAGTAGGTGCTATATAAATGCTAGCTATTATTGGTAATAATATCAGAGACAAGATTTGAACTCAGGTCCAATGACTCTAAAGCCAAAGCTCTTTCTAATAAACCATGTTTTCTTAATTGATGACCTGACAATGCCCAGATAGCTGATATGATTTCCACCTCAGTAACTCATTATTTCCCGTCCATTAAAATGAATTTTATTTTTTGCAATATTATTTAGTGTAAATACTTTCTCCATAATCTTGGAGAGATCTTGCAATACCACAGTCTGAAGAATCAGATTTGTGGGGGCAGCTAGGTGGCGCAGTGGATAGAGCACCAGCCTTGGAGTCAGGAGGACCTGAGTTCAGATCTGGCCTCAGACACATAACACTTACTAGCTGTGTGACTCTGGGCAAGTCACTTAACCCTAATTGCCTCACAAAAAAAAAAAAAAAGAATCAGACTTGTGGGTTACCCAAATACATCATGGACATAAATAGGTTTTAGCACATTTCAATTCTAGAGGAGCTAGAAAGGGAAGTGAATGACTGGAAAAGTCATTGGGTTGGCCACTTAGCAAGAGTAAGCGGCAACAGATGGACAGATAGGGACAGCTAGGTGGTGCAGCCCTGGAGTCAGGAGGACTGAGTTCAAAATCCAGCCTCAGACACTTGACACTCACTGGCTGTGTGACCTTGGGCAAGTCACTTAACCCCATTGCCTAGCAAAAAACAAAAAACAAAAAAACAGATGGATAGATGATTCTTTTACTGGTACTCATGATACGTTTTTTGTTTTTGCTTTTTTTTTTGGCTAGGCAATGGGGTTAAGTGACTTGCCCAGGATCACACAGCTAGTGAGTGTCATGTGTCTGAGGCCAGATTTGAACTCAGATCCTCCTGAACCTAGGGCCAGTGCTTTATCCACTGCATCACCTAGCTGCTCCTTTTTTGTTTTTTTATGAAGGCCTCTATCACTCTGGATAGATACTCTGTGTGGTTTTATGGGAGAACATAGGCAAAGATCACAGAGGATGAAGAGGTATGGATGAGTTTTATGCTAGACCAGTGGAGTTTATGGGCAGCTAGGTGGTGCAATGGATAGAATGTCCTTCCTGGAGTCAGGAAGATGAGTTCAAATCCAGTCTCAGACACTTACTAGCTGTGTGACCCTGGGCAAGTCATTTAACCCTTATTGCCTCACCAAAAAGAAAAAAAATGTTAAGAGCTCCTGGGCTAGACTTTCTCTAAGGTCCACGAACCTGAGGCCCTGACTGTTGCAAAGCTGTCCAGGCTCACATAACCCCAAGCAGCCAGCCCAGAATTTGAACCTAGATCTTCTGACAACTTAATTCCAGTGCTCTACCGCCACAGAAACATTATGACTCTCCTACTATTCTTATCTCCAGACAGATCTATGTCCCACCCATCCTTTGCAAGTGAAGCCCATTCTGAAAGATCTCAAAGGCATCTGGACAGCACTGAGGAAATGGGATTTTCCACATCTCTCACCCATTTCAGTGAATCCCATTCTATGGATCACAGCTGCCAAGGCAAGGTTCTGGCAGTTGGGAGGTAGAGGGAATCTCCATCACCAAACTCTTCTCTGTGTGCTTTTAAAACTCCAGTATTGGTCCTCTTTCTAGCTCAACTGTTCCCAGGATGCCCCCCCCCCATTAGGCTGGGACTTTCCCAGACACAGATCAGGCATTTGCCCAGTGAGCTGTGAGGGAAGTTTCACTTTCTGTACTTTTCCAGGGCTGGCAGCGAGGCAGCACTGGTGACCTGAACCTCTGGAAGCTGTCTAGTGGTCTGTCACTCTAAGGCTTTACCCACATGGGTGCATCCTGCCCCTGACTCAGAGTTTTGGAAACACAGAAGGGCTTGGGGGGTGGGGGCAGGCATGCAGCTATTTTTTTCCCACTTCATTGGATCCTCACAACAACACCCAGAGGTAGGTCCTGTTATTAGCTCCATTTTACGGTTGAAGAAACTGAGTTAAATAGGTTAATTGACTTGCCCTAGGTCACATAGTAAAGTGTCTGAGGCTGGATTTGAGCTCAGGACTTCCTAATTCTCAGCCCAGTTCTCTATCCATGGGACTAAGGAGACCCAGGACCTAAAGCAGCTCCCTCAACTCTTTGTCTTATGCTGGGGAGGATGCTTGTGGAAAGTTTTAGTTTCTTGTTGTCATTTGTGTATATATATATATATATATATGTGTGTGTGTATGTATGTATGTATGTATGTATGTGTATGTATATGTATATGTATATATGTATATATGTATATGTATATGTATATATATGCATATGTATATTTGCATTTTGCATATATTAAGTCCTCACAAAGGAATTGTGGTGCTATTTCTTCATCCTGTGCCTTGTTTAGTTTAAACTAAAAAAGCCTCTGAGAATGACCTCATTTTCTGTGGGCATCTACCCTCTTCTTTGCCTTTTAGAGTTCCCAAGGGAGCCTTTTTTTAATGTCCTGCTGACATGAGAAGAGGGAGTGAACAGTGGCAGGGAGGAAGGAGTCGAGACCTGGGTTTCTTACCTTTCCTGTAGTCTTGATTCCCTTCCAGATGCAGAAATAGCACACAATCCAGGCAAGCAGGAGACACAGGGCCAGCTCCCAGCGCAGGGCTCCTATATCATGGATGCCCATTGTGATGCCCAGGACCCTCCTCCTAAAAGCCATGAGAAAAAGATGAGAAATGTAAAAGTGACATTGTCTCCCTGACCTCTGATTTTTATGGCAGACCCCACAGCTCTGGCGTCCTCCCAACCTCCCACAGTCATTCTGGGCATTAAGGGATCTAATCGATCCTCCAATCCAGCCGCCTCATCTGGTGGATGAGAACGACAAAGCCCAGTGAGTGATCCACCCAAAGTAACACAGTGAGTCCCTATCAGAGACACAGGTCTGCTAAATTCTTGTCTGGTACTTCTGATTATACCATCCTGCCTGTGCGGTCTGGGATGGAGGAAGTGGGTATTGTGTGAATGTACATGGGGCAGAAGAGGTGTAAACGTGTCAGGAAGGCACAAGAACTTTTGAACTTGTCCCCCTTCCCCTTCTTCCACCTCCCAGGCCTCACACATCTGGACTCCTTTGCCTGACCCGTGGAGAGAAGGGCCCAGCTACCTACTCCCAGAACTCGATGACTGGTGAGGTGCTATTGTTAGATGCCACCGGGCTACCTGAGCCTGAACAATTCAGAAAATCCACACAGTATTCTGCAAAAGACAAAAATTATAAATGATATAATCATGTAATTATAAAGTCAAACCTGGAAAAGATCTTGGAGATTAACTAGTCCAACCCCATTTTATAGAAGAGAAAACTGAGTCCCAGAGAGAGGAAATGATCTTTGTCAGAGGTCTACTAGCTACGGATGAGATGTGGCAAACATTTCCGCCTGCCTTTCTTTACTGCTCTAGCTCGTTGGAGCCCCCAGTCACATGTTCCCCAATAGAAATCAGCCCAGCAGCAACCTCCAAGCACACACACTGTTTCTTAAAGCATCTAGTCATTGGCTCCCTAGATTACGTCTGTGGAGTCTGTTCTCCCTCTCCTGTGACCTGCCCCAGGCCTGTTCTTGGTGAAGCTCTTAATTCTTCATTGTCATTAAGTATTTGAAGGTCTTGCATGTGGAAGAGGGTTTATACTTGTTCTGCCTGACTCCAGAAGGCGGTGCTGGAAACAATAGGTACGGGGTGAGAAAGGGCGATTTCGGCTTCGTTGGGGTGGGGATGGGGAGAAGGAGAGGGAATAAACAAACTTCTTCATTAATTAAAATTAAATGAATTTTAAATTAAATTTTAAAACAATTTAATTAATTGTTCAAAAAATGGAATGGGCTGCTTTAGGAGGCAAAGATCTACAGGCAGAGGCGGGGATGACCCCTTGTTGGGGATGTTAGATAGGGGATTCCTGTTCGGTTAGAATTTGGACTGAACGACCTTTGCGCTCTCCCTTCCAACGCTGTTATTCTGTGACCACTTACTTCTCCAACCCCTTGATATAATTCATAATTCTAGTCTGGTCTTCTAAAATGCGGTCTCCCCACTCTCAGCTTCTAAACCTCAGCAGACTTGATCCTGGATGAGGAAGGTAAAGGTCACTAGTCCCATTTTACAGATGATAGGACTGAGGCTCAGAAACACCAAATAATAGTGAGTCCGTTGGTAGAACCAGGACCAGAACACAGTTCTTCTGGTTCCAGGTTTAATATCCTTTCTACCACGCTATTGTCATTCACCTAGCGTCTCAAAGGTACCCAATTCATGTACCCTAGATTCCCCAAGACAGTCCTATATTTGAGATCCAGAGGCCCAGTCCCAAACGAGACAGTTTTCTCCAACATGGCTTACTAAGGCATACCTGTGTTCCAGAAATTGGTACAAGTTGTCCAGGGCAGCTGTGAGGTGAAGGAGCTGAACAGGTAGAAGAGGGCCCAGGCAAGAATAATAATGTAGTAAACATTTAGATAGGCCTCAATGACCACAGAAGCAATTCCAATGCCTACCGGAATCAGGGGGTTGGGGTGAAAGAGTAAACAACATAGAGAGATCTCCATTATTGGCAGAAAGTACATAGACACAATCTCCTATCTATGTATAGCAGGATGTTGGTGGTAATCAAAGGAAAACCAGATAAATGCAATATTAGCAACTCACATTTCTATATAACAGTTTTACCCAGTACTTTATAGAAAAAAAAATTACCTGTATTTAAAAAAGAAGAGGAAACTGAGCCTCAAAATTGGGGTTAACTTAGGGAGAGGAGGCCATAGGTCAAACCCAGGTCTCTTGAATCTAAAATCAATGTTCCTTCCATTACACCACATGGATTGCCATGGCCCCTGCCCTCAAATCAGTTAAGAACTTAGTCCCAATTAAACAATATGACAGCAGATGACCATAGGGAGGATTAAACAAAAAAAAGCAATAATAATTGATACATATATTGAATTTTGCATATATTAATTCCTCACAAAGTGCTTTGCCAAATTAACTCCTTGAGTCTCATAATTCCATGAAAGTAGATATAACTGATATAACTACACCCATTTTACAGATGAGAAAATTAAGGTTAAGAGAGATAGTAAGAGTTGGAGACAGAATTCAAAATCAGGTCTTCCTGAGTCCAAGTCTAACATTCTATCCACTATTACATGCTGGCAATCTCTGAACGAGATTAACAAATATGCAAGTAGACCATATAAGTATTAGCATTATATTTGTTTCAACCAATGTTTAATTTTAGGATATAGAGTGCTTCCTTGGTTCTACTGTAGCATCAAAGCGTAAAACAAAGAACACTGCTCCCGGAGAGGAAGGTGAAGAAGACTTGAGTGAGACCCAGTTTGTAGGTGAGACTGTAATCAGCTTTCTCAGACATCTCTCCTGACTGTAACTCATCTGGAAAATCCACATCCTTCCAGAACTCTCTGCATATGCAATGGAAACTTTAATTATGGTATCGGAAGTGAATGTTAACTCCAAGGGATTGTTTAATGTTCAATGTTCCACAAAAGCAAGAGTTTAAAAAAAAAAAAAAAGGTCATCCCATTTTCAACTCTCTACCTTTTCCAATTCACCTAGATTCCCCCACTTCAAGAAGAAAGGCTTTTCTTGAATTTTGCTTTGAACCGGACCTCTGGTCCTCTGGTGAACCTGGGGCCTATTGCTGAAAACAAGATGGAAGTACCATTTACATGAAGAAAGTCCAAGTGAGCTTTGAGCCAAAATGTTTCTCAAGTGAGGCGGAAGAAGAGAGAAGGGAGGAAAATTGGAAGCATGGGAAAAGAGGAGGTGGGACACTGAAGGCAGGGTGGGTCCATGGGTTCAGGCTAAAAAAGATTTTCAGTACATGTGCATACACGTGCACATATAGACAAACATCTTTTCATTCTTGAAGACACATGCTCGCCATTAGAAACATCCTGTCCTAAGGCATTTAGAGTCCGATCAAACAAAAAGATGTGGACAGGGCAAAAGGGGGTGGAGGAGGGAAGTGGGTGTGAGCAAAGCAATGAGCTTCTGTGTGTATTCGTGCATGGGTGTGTACCTCTGCACTCTCACTATGGACATTGGTGCCTGTTGGCAGAATATCAACCGTGTAAACAGTGCATGAGAGGGAAGGCTTCACCTGGGTTTTTCCTGCCTGCCTCAGCAGGGAGGGAGGAAAGGGCCAGACTGAGTATTTCAAGGGATACTGAAGATGTATGTGTGGAGGTATGAGGATAGGAGGTGTATCTTTGAGAAGCAAAAGTATATCATCCTTTCTCCCTGTCTCTCAACCTTCAATCTCTCCCTATCTACTAGTTCCTTCCTTTGTGGTTGCTTACAAACATGCCCAGGTCTCCACCTTAATTTTTGTCATTGAGTCATTTCAGTCAACTCTGTGAACCAATTTGGGGTTTTCTTGGCAAAGGTTTGCCATTTCCTTCTCCAGTTCATTTTGCATATGAGGAAACTGAAGGAAACAAGGTTAAGGGACTTGCCCAGGGTCACGCAGCTAATAAATGTCTAAGGCCAGATTTGAACTCAGGTCCTCCTGACTCCAGGGCTGGCATTCTATCCACTGCACCACCTACCTGTTCTTCCTCCTTATTTAAGCCTTTATTTGATCCTACCATCCCTGCTAGTTTTTGTCCTTTATCTGTTCTTTTTCTCAGCTGCACTTCTTGAAGGAAAAAAAAGCCTTCTATATTAGATGGCTACTCTTCTCCTCTCGCTCTCTTCTATATTTTCTACAACATTGTAGAAATTTTAAAGGCAGCTAGGGGTGTTGGATCTGGAGTCAAGAAGATCTGAGTTCAAATCTAACCTAGCTGTACGATCTTGGGCAAGCCCCTTAACATTTGTCTGCCTCAGGGCAGCTAGGTGGTGCAGTGGATAGAGCACTGGCCCTGAAGTCAGGAGGACCTGAGTTCAAATCTGGCCTCAGACCAAACACTTGACACTTACTAGCTGTGTGACCCTGGGCAAGTCACTTAACCCCAATTGCCTAAAAACTTAAAAAAAAATTGTCTGCCTCAATTTCTGTTAATTGGGGCTAACAATAGTACCTACCTCCTAAGGGTTGTTGACATTCAAGAAGACCTGTCATTTAAAAACTAAACTAAGACTTTTGGGACACCTAATATGTGTGTTCTTCTTCCCCATTAGAATGTGAGCTCCTTGAAAGCAGACTGTCTTACTTTTCTATCCCTATCTCCAATGCTTAGCATAGTGTTTGGCACACAGTGGGCACTTAATAAATGCTTATTTATTCATTCAATAGAGAGTATAATTTTCTGGCACAAATAATGTTTGCATTTATGAAAAGTCATTAAAAATGCCCCTTTGTTCCATTTTGTATGTTATGGAGGCAGCATGCTATAATAGAAAGAAGATTTGGGTTCCAAGTCTGGTTTTGCAGCTTAATACCTAGTTGACCCAAGCAAGTCACTAAACTTCTCTAGCCCTAATTGGCTTACTTGAAAAATAATCTAGGGTTACTTTCTAACTCTAAATACTATTGGGACTTATATTGCACCCTGGACATCTGTCTTACATACCCTTAACCCAACCTCTCATTGTCTCTATGGTGGGCACACGAAGGCTAGGAGAACAGGATTGGAATGTCCCACAAGACAATGTGGCAACAGATCCCAAGAACTGCCACCTGGAGAAAGCCCCTCTCCACTCTGAAAGAAAAAAGGCCCAAAGAAGAAAGGAAACCATGCATCTCTCTCCTTTCTTTTCAGAGGTGAGGGACTATGGGTGTGTGTATATATGTGTATATACATATATGTATGTATGTATATATGTATGTGTGTACATATGCATCTCTCTCCTTTCTTTTCAGAGGTGGGGGACTATAGATATATGTACACACACATACGTATATGCAATATATGTATATGTATGTATTGTGTACGTATATATGTATATATATTATCAGACGTCTTGGATGCATTGGTTTGTTTTGCTGAATTATTTTTTCTCCTACTTTCTTTTTATTCTTTGTTACAAGAAAGAAGAGATATATATTTGGAATTGTGGTTGATGTTAAAACAAATTATATCAATAATTTTTTAAAATAAAAGCCCACCCACCTTTCAGGCAGACAATTTAAGGAAGGGAATATGGCCAGATTTCTTGCAAACTCCTTCCACTGACCCATCATGGCCCTAGAGAGACTTTTAGGCTAAGTGTGAGAAGAGGGGGAGCAGGGACTGCACCTAAGTGCATATTGGATATTCAGTAAATCCATCCCTTCCTGTATAGAGGCAGTGAGCAGGAGGAAAGGGTGAAAGAGAGTGGGGGAACCTCTAAAAAGAGAGGACATAAGATAGCCCAAAGAAGAGACGAGAAAAAGGATGGTACTCACCCGCAAAAAGGGGACAGATCTTTTTCCAGGCTGTTATGCTGCCCTGACTGGTATACTGACCCAGTGCTGTCTCCAGGAAGAAAACTGGGATGCCACAGATAAAGAAGAAGATGGAGTAAGGGATAAAGAAGGCACCTGTGAAAGAAGAGAAGAACCAAGAGCTCAGGCAACACTGCCCTCTATAGCTTTCTTTCTCACCCTTTCTCCTTCCCCATCTCTTCTCTTGCATACCAACACCCTCCCACCATCCCACTCTATTCCCTTGCCCCTCTGCCCTCCCCCATACACATATACCCCTAGTCCTCTCCTGTATTGATCATCTGGACAGAGGTCCTCTTGGAGAGGATTTTCTGTTCTTAGAAAATAATCCTGGAGTACCACGGACTGCAAACAGGTATGAAATTTGGTACAGGCCTATAGACCCAAGCTATCGTTCAATTGACATAAGGCTAGGCCGAAGAAACAGCAGGCAAGTATTAATCAATCTATTAACGAGGATTTATTAATCATTTCCTATGTGCAAGGCAATGTGATTTTAGAACAAGCCCACACAACACACAGCCTGCCAAAGGATTTCTGGCGGCCAGCAAAAAATGTAGGGTTGCCACTGTGCAATCTCTTACTAGTCATGTGACCCACAGTAACCAACCATCATCAGTCCGTCTCTAGTCTAACCTATCTGGGGCTCGAAGAATTTTAGCCTATTTTAATTTTGGCACCTACCTACTGCCAAGTTGTATAGGTGTGTTTTAGAACGACCTTAAGAGCTGAAAGTGAGTGAATAAGACCCACATCTGTTAAGAGATGATATTTCTGAGCATTCTGAGCGCCAGAATTGGTCTATACAAGGCTTTAACTCCCCTTAGACCACTGCTTTTGTTTCCCATAGACAAGGTGAATTATTCTTTAGTCAGTGTAATGTTAATAAAACCACCAGATTAAGGAAATTTAAATAGTTTGAGGTGAAATGGTTTGCAAGGCCCAGGAGGGTAGAAGACAGTCTCTGTTTCCTCTCCCGCCCTTCCTCCAACCCAAGGCAATTAGCCAGTTGTGTCTTTCCCTGAAAGGTAACCTGTAAGTTTTATACTTTTAAAGAAAGTAAAGAAACAGCGAGGATCTGAGCCCCTGCAGGTGGGCATTTAGAGTGGGGTTTGAATTGTAGAGGTTTGCCTACACAGATATTTAGAGGTTGGTGAAGCAGCTCTAACTGTCCAACTAACCTCTGACAGGCTATGGAACATAAGTTGAGAGTCACCTCCAGTGGGGAGAGGGTTTTGTATAGGCAGCCATGTACAGAGGAAAAGAGCAACACCTAGATGAGGTGGGGGTGCTGAGCCTGGCCTAGGGCCATTTTACCTCCTCTCCCTCTTCCTCCCCATCATCCCATGCACTGTAATTCTTTGACCCTACTCTGTATCTCCATTTTTACTTTTCTAGAGGTATGGAAAGAGTGAGGTAGGTGCAAAGGGTCACTTAGCTGCGAGGGGAAGACATCGGGGAACTAACATCAGGTTTTCAAAGCAATGTTTTTCATGTACTTCCCACCCTCACCTGGCCTACCTCAAAGTGAACTCACCACCTCCGTTCTTATAGCAGAGGTATGGGAACCTCCAAACATTGCCTAGACCAATGATCTCTCCAGCCACTGATAGCACGAACTCCATCTTGTTAGCCCATTGGCCACGATCTGATGTCCTGATCTCCTCCTCCTCCACCTCCTCTCCTTCAGGGCCCCAGGAAACCACTGGGGGACCATCCTCCTGGATCACCACTTTCCCATCCATTGCACTAGGAAAGTGCTGAGGAAACAGGAGAAAGGAAGAAGCAACAAAGCCTGAGAGGAGAAAGAAGAGACAAGTTTTAAAGCTCCTTGAGGATGGAATCTATGTCATTTCACTGGTATCCCCAGCACCTAGGATTGGGATTTCCATATAAAAGTTGCTTACAACTCACTGTGTGACCTTGAGTAAGTCATTTCTTTTCTCTGGGGCCTCAATTTCCTCATCTATAAGATGAGGGGGTTAGATTAGGTCATCTCCAAGGTCCTTTCCAAATAAGTGTTCTGTGATTCTATAATAAATATCTGTGGAATTTAAGTGAACCGTTCTGTACTAGCTCCACCCCTCCCCGCCAGCAGCATTTGCTCTATTCCTATCTCAGAAGGTTCTACAGTGCTTTTACCCTCAAGTCCCCAATGCATCTAGCAATGATTATCACAATTGACCCTCACTACTGGGGGAGAGCAATAAGGGGCCAGCATTGTCCCCACTTCTCAGGAGGACAAGCTGAGGTCCAGAATGCAGCTTGCTCACAATCACATAGAGTTTCAAGGACAGAGTGAGGATTAGGAAGCAGGGCTCTTAATTCCCGACCAGGAATTCTGATTTCTGCCAACACCTTTCACCAGCACTAGCCTTCCCTTGAAGACCTGGGTCTCAGCTGCCTGAGTCAGCGGCCCTTGCCTAGCTGCCTTCAGGGCAGGACCACCTACCCACTGCAGAAAGAACAAATCACCCAATACCAAGCAGTGTTTCCAGGGGGCCTTTGGGGTCATCGCTGCTCCCTCTCCCCTTCCTCTTAGAGCAAGCTTGTTATCTCCCTGAGCCTTGAGAAAAATGGCCCATAAGCCTCTAGGATCGTCTCATCCTGCTGCACCAGATGATACAAGAGGCACTGGTTCTACAATTAGGATACCTGAATTCAGGTCCTGGCCTTAGGAGTGATTTGAGCTAATGACTCAACCAAGGGAGAGGATCAAATGATTCTGTGGGTGACGAGAAGTCAAAGATTAGGCAAGGCAGAGGTGACTGCACCCCTTCACCCCCACCAACTTTGTGCTCATTCTCAGGCTAAGGTTAATGATTTCCACAGGGTAAACAGGGGAGCCATCTCAGTCTGGGCATCTGATTGGGAAGGGAACAGAAGGTGGAGCCCATAGACAAAGCCAGAAGAGGAGGTTGGGGGAGGGGGAGAGGTGAAGAGTTAGGACAGAGACATCAAAGAGTCAGGAGATATAGAGGTTGAAAGGGATCTGAGGGGTCCTCCTGTCCAACCCTACCTGAGTGGGAATCCCCTCTACAGCATGCCAGAGAAATGGTCATCCAATCTCCACTTGAAGAATTCCACTGTCTTGTGGAAGAGGAATTAGACTTGTTTTGTCCTGATAAATCTCAGGAGAGAAAAAGATGACTTTCAAAGAAATGTCTGGTTCTGTTTCACCCATCCCTGTGCCTTCCCCTGGTGCCCCCACTATGCTGGAGAAGAGCAGGAAAGGTTGGGGATAGAGCAGAAGTCTTCACCCAGAAGGGCATCCCACTATGATGCTAACTGGCCTGCAGGGCAGGACCACCTACCTGGCCTTAGGAGTGATTTGAGCAAATGACTAAACCAAGGAGTTTAGTCTGAATCCTTTGGATTCAGTCAAAGGGCTGCACTTTAGGACCTAGAGGGCCACATGTGACCTCGAGGCGAAGGCTCCCCACCCCTGGACTAAACCTATCTAAGACTTAGTTTTTTCATCTATAAAATGGGAACAATGATACTTGCCTATAGTTTAACAGGGTTATTGCAAGGAAAACATTTCATAAATTCAAAAACATCAAAGAAAGGTGAAGTTGTCATTGTTATCATGGACATTGCTCCATCAGATTATGGAACACTTGAGAGTGGGAGGCTATTAAATAGAAAATCATCTGCGTCATAATTCTGTGCCTCTAAGGTCAAAGCAAAAGAAATGAGGCCATATGTGTGTATGCATGTGTGTGTTTTTTGTTTTTTTGTTTTTTGGGTTTTTTGTTTTTTTTTACCTTTCCATGCTTCAGTCATTCCTGCTATCTTCCTCCCAACTGCAGAAAAGGGAGAACAATTCCCACCTTTGCTTTTTTGTTGCACCCTCCCCACCACAGCCAGCTGGGGGTGGTAGAAAAATCAAAGAGAGCGTGTCTATAAAATGGTCTGTGCTTCTCCGAGGCTCTAGACTAGGAAATACAAGGGATTCTTTTTATTAGGGAAGATTCTGCTTGTTTGTTTGTCTCTTTAGCCCAGGCAATAGCCCAAGTTTAAGTCAGTTGGAAGGGTGTGGACTGGGGCCACCTGAGGTTGTGGAAAATTTTGAAGGTGACTTGGAGGGTGCAGGTCATAACAGGAATGATAAAGCATGCCAGGTGTGAAATTATAGTAATAAGTCAGGCTCAGTACACTCAGCACATAGGGCAAGGACGTGGTGGCAGGAACAAAGAAGGAATGGGACTTCCTGGACTAGGGGATGAAGGGGAAGAAAGGGAAAGGAGGATTTGCTGAAAGATGAGGAAGCTTGAGATGCTTGAGGTCTTGAGGACTCACTCTCACAGAGTCATCGGAATCTTGGATCAAACAGGCTCACCTGTAGCAATGTGATTCAGAAGTCACTTAACCTCTCCGAGACACAATTTCCTAATCTGTAAAATGAGGATAATCATACTTGCTCTACCCATCTTCTGTTGTCTTGAGAAAACTACTTTGTAAACTTTAAAGCATTAGATGAAAGGTAATTATTAACATTACCACAGTCACTCAGCCTTCAACAGATCCTCTAAATATGCCCTCACCTTTGACCCTGAGATTGCCAGGGAGGGGGGGTGTATTGGTTATAGAACCATAGAAGAAAGCTAGAAGGTTCCTTAGATGCCATCTACTCCAACTCCATCTTTTTACTGGTGAGTAAACTGAGACCCAGAGAGATTAATTGACTTACCCAAGGCCACACAGAGATTTTCAGAGGTGAGATTTGAACTTACATTCTCTGACTCCAGGGCCAGTGTACTACACTGCCTCCATCAGACATTTTTAAGTCTTTTTAAAAAAGTTTTTCAAGTGAACATAAAACCATTGCCTTAGTGGAAAGTGTCCTAGGCTGAGTCAAGAAACCTGAGTTTAAACTCATTCTGTTAGCTTAGGTATGTTGTATCTATTTGTATATATTTTATATTCAATTTGTGTATATATGTCATTTCCCCCATTAGAAGGCAATCTCCATGAAAGAAGTGACTTTTATTTTTTATCTTTGTATCCCCAGTACTTAGAGTAGTGCCCGACCACAGTTAGTGCTTAACAAATGAATAGTGTTGCTGCTGAATCACCTATTTGGGCCTCTATTTTCCTGTGTATGAAATGGGAGAATAAG